TATTTATTGCACTTTCTTTTCTTTTCCACCCTTGCTTTTCACTTGGGTGTTATGTTTTTGTTGGTGCAGTTCTGAAACATGGATCCTCATGGCTTCTCCAACCATTGGGGGTATCAATCACCATCCGTGTGGTATTACCCCGAGACTTCCTGGAGCAATCAAGGAGGAGAAGACTATGGATTCGGATATCAGTACCAACCCCCCTACTATGGAGAACAACCAAACCCTTGGGAACCTCAGGAACAATATCCTTTTCAAGAAAAGTTCCTGCCACAACCAGCAGAGCCATGCTACACTTCACTGGAAGATCCGAACAAACAATTAAGACTTCTCGTGGAGCAGTTTGCTCGAGACGCTGAGAGAGCATGCTCCAAGATGGATCTTCAAATCCAAGCCCTTGACTCTTCCGATCCCTCATTGCTCCATGACATGGAGCAGACTGTTCAGTGGTCAGCGAAGCAAACAGAGTGGGTGAAGCAAATTTGCTCACATCCTGCTCAAGATCACCTTTCTGCTGCTACGCTAGAAGAGGCGGAGTATGACAAGGGCAGCGGGGGCGTTGAGGAGCCTACAGAAGTTATCCCAGAGAACACCCATGATGATCATGATCAGGAAAGTCCTCTGGTGGCAGATCACACCGTTCTTCATTTATGCTCTAGCATGCTGGGCCTGTGCGAGGAGAGGCAAGATGATCCCATTGAAGAAATTGCTTGGCGACTTGCTCTCCAATCTGTTTTGGAAGAAGAAGAGCGAGCAAGGATGAGGAAGGAAGTTGTGGAGGATGAGGAAGGAAGTAAAGACGAGGTAGTTCTTGATCTTTTCCAAGGGGAGAGACCACATTTTGAAGAAGGTAGGGGGGTTGTGGAGGCAATTGGCGTCCAGGCTGAGGATGAAGTTGAGGTGGAAGAGGCTTGCACCGAGCCTATGTTACACTTGATATCTCCACCAAACTTCGAGGATCTGCTTGCATGGACCCATTTGCAGTGTCTCTTTTCCCAACTAAGACCACATCAACATCAATCCCTCTTGGTGGATACGATGGTGATCAATCGAATATATCTTATCTGGTTTGGGGCAATGAGACAAGAGCATATGCGAAGGAGAGGTCTCGTGAGTGGAGACTTCATCTTCCTCAAGGTCACGAGCCGTCTTCATCACCTATCACTTCACTTGCTTGTGACTTGAGACTCCACATCATCGATGAGAACCTCAACTTCAAGGAGGTTTTGGGGTGGACCGAAACTTAGGAGTCACCGTCTAGCTAAGACGTAAAAGAAGCGCTTGTGGGGAGGCAACCCCACCAAGGTTTGTTTTTCTTTTGTTTGTTTTTGTCGGTTTATCCACTTGGAACCATGGTTTCTATCACCCAGTGTGTTTTGCTGATGCTAGCCCCGCTGACTGGTCCACTTCCAGTCCCCCAGCAGTGTTTTAATCCGGTAACATCGTTCCCCTTCTCTTTCCCTCTACTCCATTGAGGGCAATGTCGTGCTTAAGTGTGGGGGGATGCTTTGTATCGGTTGGAATATTTATGATGGTGCTTGGAGCCTAGTCCGCTGTCCGAATCTTACGATTTGAGGGCTCCAAGTACTGCTGTTTGATCATATTGGCACTGTGTTTTGATGGATGAATTGATTGGTTTTCGGAGTAATGCATGACAACTTGTTTGCGACTAGGAAAACCTATGATGAGGACTGAGATGTGCAGTAGAACGATGTAGGGGTTCAGTTTTCCAACTGTTTGCTTGCCAACTGTGACTTGATCTGACTTGATCTGATTACTTGTTCTTGACAGTCGTTTATGCATCTAGTTCAGGGTATCAGAATGTGAGATAGAGCATATAGGTAGCCATGTGAGATTTGAGCCTGCTCGTTTCGTTCTTGTGCGATAGATCCCTCTTCCATGATGTGTAGCATTCACGTTGTCACTAGCTAAGATGATGGGGGCATAGGATTAGCCCACGCCCAAAACTGACTGTCCTGATGTGTCATATCCCCTAGTCAGCCCCTTTGAGCCGTGTGTTATCCTTTCTTTTGGTCTATAATGAAAAAATCACCCTTGTTGCATCTTTTAGAAGGTTCCACAGAGTGGTTTTTATATATTCTCTGCTGTTTCTGCTAAAGTCTATGTGAGTGTTGGAGGTAGTGCTTAAAAGTTGGGCAGGTGTTTGAAATTTATGCAGAAGTGGTGGCTCTCTTAAGAAATGAAAAGAAAAATGAAAGAAAAACAAAGAAAAATTGAAAGCAAAAGAGAGCCACTACCAAAAATCTGAATAATGCCCAGTAAGCAGTGTTTCTTAGCAGTCTGGCTTGGAAATGCTGATGTTTATGCCTCCTTCGCTCTTGTGCTCTTGAGATGTTGAGTAATGCAGAATAGCAGAAAGAAAATACCGGGTTGTTTGACTGTGATTGTGTGTTTGGGAAATGTGGAACCTTTTGCTATGAATACTTCCACCACCTAAAAGGCCTTTTCCCCATGTCCAAGACCCTAGCCAGTCATTTGAACCTGTGTCTAAGACCTCCTGATTAGTTAGTGGTGACACCCCATATGTGAACTCTAGCATTTAGAGGCTGCCATCATGGTGAAGAGATGATAGGTATTGAGAGAAATAGCATGCGCATCTTTCGCATCAAATTGTCCTGACCCCACTGGTCGAGAGTGAGTGATTCATTTTCATTTTCTATATGCTCTTGTACCCCGGTGAGGACCTAGATTGCTCGGTCTCTATTCTGATGTCTTGAGTTGGATGCATGAGTTGACTGTTTTGAGTAAGTGGTTGAATCAAGTCTAGGTTGGCCAGTGAACAGACGGGAGACTCTTCCTTTACTCGATTTGCTGCACTCGAATGTCCTTTGTGGTGGTTGTCCAGGTTGTTATTGAGGTTGTGCATGTATTGATGTTTGAAAACCAGTGCGATTCACGTGTTCTGTGCCTTTATGACTTGTCCCCAATGTTGGTTGATTGAAATATGTAAGCTTACCTGGTGTCTGACTTGGTTTGCTTGGGGACAAGCAAACGGTTAAGTGTGGGGGAGTTTGATAGACCGTTATTTACACATGTTTTTACCCCTGCTCTTACTCCGTTTGAGGTATTGATTCTCGTGTTTTAGGCCGATTTCACGCTAGGTTGTGCTTGTTTATGATATTTAAGGTCCTAGTACGTGAATGGAGGCTTGGGAGCGAGTTTAAGGTCGATTGGACAAGGATCGGACGCATGGCGAGGTTCTGAGGAAGTCGCACGGGCACATCCACAACCCGCACGGCCGTCCAAGTGACCAGTTTGGCCGTGCGGGATTGTGCGTGGGCACGCACGGGATTGTGCGTGGCCACGCACGGCCGTGCAAGTGACCAGTTTGGCCGTGCGGGATTGTGCGTGGGCACGCACGGGATTGTGCGTGGCCACGCACGGCCGTGCAAGGTGCAATCCTGGCCGTGCACGATGGCTGAAGGTCGAATTTACTGATACGGCGCGTTTTGGAGTGCACGGCCAGAATGGTGATGTGCACGGCCGTGCACCGTGGCCGTGCAAGTCGGGAAACCCTGTTTTAGAGCCTATTCCGAGCCAGAAGTGGGAGAATCGTGTTTTCAGAGCAAAAACAGAGCCCTAGAGAGAGAAAGTGCGAAGAACACATCCTAGAAGCTGTCTTAGAGCTGGATTTCATCGAATCGAGCCTGGAGATCGTCATAGGAGTGAAAATCATCGTCCCGGAGCAGATTATCCTCATCGTTATGAGTATGACTAATCCGATTCTGGTTTTCTCTTCTCTCTCTATGGAGTAGAACCCTTCTCTCACTTGGGTATGAAGAACCCTAGTTCCTTGTGTTAGGGATTTGATTGTAATGACTTGGGATGATATTACTGTTTGATTTTAATCGAATGACGCATGTTTAATGAATTGATTTGAGTCTGATCAGCTTGTCTCAATTTCTGCTGCAACCTGAGATAGATAGAATCTGATTAGGTTGTTAGAGCCTCTTCATTCGATAGTAGGAGATTGGCTATACGAGAGTTAGCCAGTTTACTGCTTTGTACTGGTGTTCTTGGCGCCAGTAGTGGAGTTCTGTGTTCATAGCCTCAGCTTTCTATCCCGGTGAAGACTAGTCGTCTGCCGGGTAGTTAGACTGAGAGGGCTTGGTTAGCTTAAGAGATTCCAAGCTACTGTCGGATCTTCCGCAGTCTAATCAACAGTAAATCAACCCAGGGAATTGCAATTGAACCTAACTAAAGGGCTAGGGGGACTCAATCCCGAGTGACTCTTGCCTGCTTTAGAAACCCGAACAATTTACTGCTTTCTTGTTGCTTTTACTTTTCACAACAATCATTCGAACTAGTTTGCTAGATAATAGAGAATCACGGAGTAAGCAGTAGATCTAGACCCCGGGTTGATAATTAAACTTGCCTGTTACTGCAGTCCCTTTCATTGGTTACACTTGGCCATTGTTAGGTGTTGTGTTTTAGCGTGTCAAGCCCTAAGTCTTTCTATATAAGCTTAGCTACGAGATTGTCGTAAGCAAGCCGTCACAATGTAGTCCTCACATAATAAAACGTCAACCGTGAGCTCGTTCCGAGCTCACTATGGATTAGTCTCGATCAATCAATCGATCGAGGATACCACGTAAAATCTTATGTTCTGTGTTCTTTCGTATTTTCGCATCATCAAATTCTACAGAGGCAGAGAGAGTAGGATTGGGAGAATCCCCAGAAGGTCCATTTATTTTCAGAATTCCATTCCAGGGATTTGAGAGACGAACCAATCTGATGATAACCGAAGAACGAATTGCTTGAGCATAGCTGCGTCACTACGTTCTACTTTGGGTTTTCATACTTTTGCCGCCATTAAGTAAGTTGGAATCAGTCACTGGGAGCTTTAATTTTTCTTCGAGGATAATGGTTTCGTTCGTATGATAATGAAAGTTAGAGAAAAGAAAAAGGGAAGTAGTAACTTTATTTAATGATAAGCCCATTTTCAGAATACCATATAGACTATATATAAGCCTGTTGTTCTACTTCTTGTGCAGATTCTGGAAGTAGGCAGCAGGGTTCTTCTCAAAGTCGGCCCTCGGGATTTGATGGTCAGCTCCGGGGGCTTTCATGATTCCAGACCCAGTTGCTGAAGAATAAGAAAAAGAAGAAGAAGAAGAGCCAGCGGGCTTTCCAGAACCTGCAGCCTGATTGTTGTTGCTTCCTCCTGAAGTGCCCTTCTTTCCGCTTTCCATTTCTGCTGCCTCAAGTAAACTAGTATAGCCTTTTGCTCGGTTCAAAAGTTAGAAGGTGAGATATTCGTCCAAATGCTCTGAAGATTGATTGATGGAGATAGTTGTGAGAAATGGGGAAACATGGTGAGAGCAGAGCTTATTATATAGGATCCTTGGGGATTCATTAAATGGGAATTGGGAAATGGGCAGGACTAGTAGAAGAGTGATAGTCAAACCTTCATATCCACTTTCTTGTAATCCAGTTTTTGGAAGAGGAAGTGGTTGAAAAGTAACCCAAGTTTGGGAATTGAGTATTGACGATCGAGTCACTCTCTTTAACCAAGACAGTGGGGGAGACATTGCAAATCTTCAACATTGGAGCAAATTGCAATCTGCACAATTGCACCCATAAATCAGACTTCTCTAGACATTGGAGAAATCCTACAGTGCCTCACTAGGAAATCACACAAGAGGCAAACTGTGGGCTCGCATCAAACCTGATTATTCATTAAGAAGGCTCACTTACAGCCTACAGGAAGGAATCACTGTAGAGGTAAAACCCTCTTTCTGTCTCCTGGCCTTTTATCGCTAGATCAACACTAACAGAGGCAGTCTATAAACTAATAAAGTACTCTTCCAAGTTGTTGCCATCATAATTTGTATCGCCTATAGAATCTCAAATAGGCCTGAGCTATAGAGGTTTGCCATATTAAGTTTTACACAATTCGCATCTCTAATTTACTCCAAATTTGATTTATTCTTTAAAACATAAAAGGTGGGTACGCTTTATTGGCCAAGAATGCCGGTTACTGTATATTATTTTGTCATTTTCTGTGTCCACCTCCTCAGCGACTTCTTCTGGCTTCACCCCGCAGGGGTTAAGATCTGGTGACTAAGGGGGGTCCCCTTAGTCACATGGCTAAGTGAATCTCCACCCTTGCACCTCATTAAAATCCAAGGGCTCCTATTAATCCAATTTAATGAAGGGCAATGTAGTAATTGCATGTTTATTTTTAATTTAATTATAAAAGAAATAAAATAAAAAACCCAGCGCCGGCCGGCCGTCTCCGTCGCGTCGCCTCCCGCCTCCGTTCCAATAATTGCGCGGCCGCCGACCAGGGAAATTACTGGGCAACTGGGCGCCATTTTTTGCATGGGGAATTTCCCCAGAGAGTTCTTGTGCGCCCATTGTGCCATTATTCCAGAGAGAGAGCTTTGAATTGCAATCTTGCAATTAACCACTAGAGAGAGAAGCTGGGGATTTTATTCCTTTGCTGTTTCCCCCAAATGCAACGAGAGAGAGAGAGAGAGAGAGAGAGAGAGAGAGAGAGAGAGAGAGAGAGAGAGAGAGAGAGAGAGAGAGAGAGAGAGAGAGAGAGAGAGAGAGAGAGAGAGAGAGAGAGAGAGAGAGAGAGAGAGAGAGAGAGAGAGAGAGAGAGAGAGAGAGAGAGAGAGAGAGAGAGAGAGAGAGAGAGCTTTTCCGGCGACGGCGGAGCAATTTTCCGGCGACCAGAGACGGTGGTGGATGGTTTTCCGACAACAGTATTTGAGTTCGTGATGTTTGTAATGTTTATATTACTATTTTGTATACATTGTAATGTTTGTAATGTTAGTAATGTTTGTTTGTCTAGTTTGTATACATTGTAATGTTTGTAATGTTAGTAATGTTTGTTTGTCTAGTTTGTATACTTTATGTTATGATTTATACACTTTCTATTCATTGTTTTGTATTTGTAACTTTTGTTATTCAAGTTTGTATACTTTTATGTTATGATTTGTATACTTTGTATTCATTTGTTTGTAATACAAGTTTACCAATCTGTATTGTAAGTAGTGATATTCTGTACGTGTAGTATGCTTTGTACTGTTTGTAATGTTTGTTTGTAATGTTTGTAATGTTTGTTTGCAATGTTTGTAATGTTTGTTATTTTGTAATGTTTGTAATGTTTGTTGGTTTCTTTTGTACTGTTTGTAATGTTTGTTATTTTTGTCCACATTTTTGTCAACCATGTTTGTAATGTTTTTTGCATCACAAATCAATACATATAAAGTATACAAATTATTAGTACTTACAATACAAAGCGAAACATACTAAGAATACAAGCAAAACATACTAAGAATACAAACTGTCAAAGAAAAACATACTAAGAATACAAACTGTCAAAGAAAAACATACTAAGAATACAAACTGTCAAAGAAAAACATACTAAGAGTACAAACTGTCAAAGAAAAACATACAAACCATACTGACATTTTGTACAAAAATACTAACAATACAAACTAATGTTACAAAACATACAAACTATACAAATCACTGTTCTTCCTTCAGACGACTCTCTCTCCACCGCTGCCGCCGCCGTCGACTCTCTCTCCACCGCTGCCGCCGCTGATTCAATCTACTGCCATCGCAACCTCTCTCTCTCTCTCCATCGTCGCGCCGCCTCTCTCTCCTCCATCGTCGCGCCGCCTCTCTCTCCTCCATTGTCGCCGGCGCTCTCTCTCCGCCATTGCCTTCGCCTCCGTCGCGATCTCCTTTCCCTCTTTCCATCGTCGCCGTCGCCGTCGCTGTCGCCGTCGTGGTCATGGTCTCCTTTCTCTCTCTCCATCGTCGCCGCCGGTCGCCTCTTTTCCATCGTCGCCTCTTCATCCCGTGGCTGGCAGCACAGAAGAGAAGGTGGAGAATTTTTTTTTTTTTTTTGAATTTTTCCTAATTCCAGAATTGCCCTTCTTATTAATAAAATAGTCCTTCCATTTTCTACACCATTAGATTGATCCAAGGGCTGAGGGGGGCTTAGCCAAGTGACTAAGCACCCCCCCTTAGTCACCAGATCCGGACTCACCCCGCAGTGACCAGCTCTTGCTTTCGGAATCGCTACCAGCCTCGACAGATGAAACCATCCCCTTCCCCGTCCCCTCTACCATGCTTCTTTCCGTGCATCAAGCCCATGTATTTACTTTTGGAGCCGAAAATCCGGAAGGACACGCTTCCCGTCACTTCGTCACTCTGATTTGCTTTCCCGTACATCCAACCCATGTCTTCCTTCTGCTTCTACACTGTTGTCCTCTCCCCACCAGTTGGCTACGATTGTACTTGGTGGGAGATAAATGGTTCCCCTCTTTCCCCCCTCCATAATCCCCTTCTTCTCTCTTGCAACGAAAATCCTAAAAATTTCCTAGCTGCTGGTCGCCATGGCCCGTGGAATCCGAACTCGAAAGCGTAGGAAGACGAAGTCGATTTGGAGGACCAACGGCGGTGGACAAAATCGCCGGTGATCTCTTATTTCATTGTCTTCTTTGTCGAAATTTGTAATTTCACCTTCTCAATTTTGGACTCTCGCTGCAGAACACACGGCAGTAGCAATTAAGATTCCGATGACATGGTTTCGTCGAGTTCATACTCGAGCCCTACCATGGGTAGGATAATAGAAACTGACGGTGGTGGTGATGATGGACGAGCAGGAGGAATGGGTGAGAGTTGGTGGAACCGCTAATGTTCAGGATGGAATGTGGGAGAAGAAAAGTCAATGAGCGGTATGCTGTTTCAGTTTAATTGCCGCTAGAGCTGGAATGGACACGACTCCCTACCCGGGGAAAAGTAGGGCGATAGTAATGCGCTCTATTTTTTCTTTTGTTCACCGGTTGATCTTCCTCCTACCGCAACCCCAAAAAAATGAACTAGCTTCACACTTCACTTGATTTTACTGTGGCAGGCACAAGCTAACCAGGAGCAGCAGCAAACATGATTGACAATTCCTGCAGCATCACAAAAACTGGTTGGTGGAGGCCGGTGCCATTGACATCAGATTTCCATTCACCATCAACGCCAGGCCATCTTCAGGTTAAGAAGGATTTTCTGGGATAAGCAAAAACCAAAGAGTAAAGAGCTAGCAGGACTTTAGACTAGACATTTCTGATTGAAAGCACTCATAAGTTTTGATCTTTAAGAGTGGGTAGAGCTATGAATCTGATACTGTGGGATAACTAGATGGCCAATGCTAACAAGAGATGATGGGCAAGAAGGTGACAAAATTGCCACTTGACACTGAAACCAACCTAATCTGAGTTACTACTGAAAAACATTTTAATATTTCTGTTTTGTTCTTCAATCTGTTCCTCTTTGCTGTTCTGAAATTCTCAATTTGTTCCTGTTCGCTTCAGTTCCGAGAAGAGCAATTGAATTTATGTTTTGCTTTCTAATCTCCTTTTGTTTGTGTTTATTATCGTTCTGTTTGTTGTTTGTGAACCCTGATTTACCGATTTAATTGTTTGATTTTTGCAATTGGGTTTCGTATGCCAGGGTACCAACAAATGTGCCTAACAAACTTATCAAGCTTTCCCTTCGGCTAAATTACACGTTTGGTCACTCAAATTATACAAATCTTTCACGTTTGCCACCCGAATTACTTTTCTTTCTTATTCGCCACTAACTTTACGAATAGTTTCACGGTTGGTCACCGGCCGTTATACTCCGTTAAGTTTGTCCTATGTGGCAGTCAACTATAAAGTTTGACCGTTAACTAGATGACGTGGAAATTAAATTTTTTTTCCCTTCCACCTCATCATTGCACTTATTTTGTCTATATAATTTATCATATTAATTAGTGATTTTTTTTGTCTTCCTCCGTCTCCTTCGAGGGGAATGTGCGTCGGTGAATCGTAGAGCAAACGCGGGTGGTCTCCTCCTCCGAATGCAGTGGCAAGGAGGCGGGCGGCGAATCGAAAAGCAACGGCAGCGAGGGAATCTTCCTCCGCTCTCTTTAATTCGTCGATTGGAAGAGCAGGGGAGGGATCTGATTCCAAGACCTTTCCTCTCGGTGGGGAAGTAACAAAAACCCAGGAATTGAACCCCAGTCGTAGAAGTAACAAAAACCCAGGAGATAGAAAAGGAAGAACAACTGTTCCAATCGATTGGTTATTATGACACAATAGGAGTAGGAGGACCTGCAACATTGATTTTGAAGATATGGGTAGTGGGAGACTCAAGTCAGCCCATCAGAGCCGTGGAGCCGGACCATTCTCTG